GAAATTTACGAGAAAGTTAGTACTAATTTGAAATCATTATTAATTTCACACAAGAGTTTTCATGAACTGTTTTTCTGGACTACTTTGGTCATGTGTTCTGGGTAGGTGATGTTAATTACTCCTCGAGCCACCTAAGGAGCATCATGGCTATTCGCAGCCGTCAACCATGTAATATTACAGAATCATCCCAACTGCAACTAGATAAATTCTCTTGAGAAAAATATCTGATCGAGGTAGCGATCGAACTCACTCACGAACNGAAGAACCAGAATCGACAAGTTTGGAGACAAATTAAAATAGTGAGAAAAGAATTGTTAGATTTTTCTGATACATTGTAAAATATCAGAGCCATATAAGTTCAAACGAAGGAATTGAATTACACCTATTTTTCATTTAATTGATGACATTTTCAATGTCAGAAACAAAATCCTTATTATTTGCAAATCTCACATTTACGATTTGTTTGCAGTTGACTGTTTTGTGATAATTTGTAAGTTACCTATAGTAATTATTTATTTACTTGAAAATGTTTTACAGTCCATGGTTACAAAAAACATAGATGTAGAAATTAGTGTCAATAGATAGAAACGACCTAGAGACAAGTCAAGTTGTGAAATGATGGAGCAATGTTTCATCTATTGTCACATATTGATGCAGAAATTCAGGGTTTTTATGGTGGAACAGCCCAAAACACTACGCAGAGTCATCAATTCGTTGTTGTATTTGTTTGATTGTGAGCTCGCGCAGCACCCTCTTTGAAAAGAACTTTCTCACACCCAAATGTCATTACACGATATGTCCAATACGTTCTTTTGATATCTTCAGAACCTCAGCTATATCGATCATTGTGGTCATCCAAAATTATTTTCTGAACTTTTTTATGTTTTCGTCGCTAACAGCCTTTTTGGGGCGTCCACCGCCCCAAAACCACTTCTCAGTGGTTGGTTTTCCTGGTGCAAAGTCCGAATAATGTTTATCAAGCCAAGTGTTGGCTTCAACAGTATTTTTTTTTGCCAAAAAGCAATGCTTTATTAACATACAATTTTTTTTTTATCCATTGTTTTCAAACTAACAAAAGTTGCTCTACTCAAAATGTTCTATCCCACAAACTAATAGTCCGACAGCTGTGAAATTTTTACTTGTATGTTTGGAAGGTAAGTGTTAACTAAAAATCATGGATTCAATACTAGTAACGCCAAATGTTTGTTAGCCTACGAACCTTCCATTCCATATGAAATGAATTTTGATAATTTTACTCTTTAATCTCAAATTTCCTAATAGAAGCTGGATGTGACACACACTGTATATATGTAATGATAATGTATATAATTACTTTGTACATTGAGGAATATAAAAGATTGTATCAGGAAATAAATTTATGAATTTTGCATAATCGCCTCTAATCTCTACTGGTATATAGACTAGTATTTTTTTATTATGCACCTTTGTAATTCTGTTTTTGACAAATTTTATCGTGGTATCAATTGATGATAGATGGCAGGAATAAGATGTTGATCTTTTTTTATGGAAATTGTGAAGCAGAGGCTTATTCTCTTTGCTGATATTGATCGATTGTGTTTCATAATTATTTTTAGTAAACATTTGACGTTGAAACTGTTCAATTTTTGCTGGTTGATAGTTGAAAACTATGCTAAAGATAACACAAGTAATTGACACAAACCACCACGTCGAGTTAACCAATATCAAAATCGATAAATGGGAATTATTTTGAAGTGTAACCCTGATATACGCATATACATGCTATGTTAAGTGTTCTTAGTCGATTATCTGTATGAAAAAATTGGATTACTTGACAATGATATTTATTCATAAATTGGTAAATAAACTTTTACCAAAATATTTTGATAATCGCCTAGTATACAATCATCATATACATGAACCCAATACAAGACACAATTGTGACATTCATCTNCTTCCCAAAAAAGTCTATGGAAAAGCGATTTGAGATTTTTTTTTTATTGATAAGTTAGATAATCAAAATTATAATATTCTCAAATCACTTGAGAAAGCTACTGTGCTAGCGAAACATGTTGTGATATATTTTTCAAATAAAGTTTGTGGATATCAAATCGTGAGGTGTAGTTTTTGATATTTCTCAAATGAAGTTTGTGTAGATCAAATCGTAAGGTGTAGTTTACGAAATTAATATTTTATTAAAATAAAATACAGATTACGTATTAGCAAAAATTCAAGTCAACAATATCAAACACAAGAATGGGGATAAAATATGTGTAAGTTTGGTATATTACTCTGGTACATGTAAGAAATGAAACCTTAATAAACAAAATAATATAAAGATATGCAAATATTATATCACGAAATTAAAACCACAATTTAATTCAAATAAGAAGAACAATCAAGTTGTTATGTGCAAACTATTTAACATGTATCATTTATTAAATGAACAACTTATACGTTATATATTTTATTGTATTGAAAATTGTCAAAAGTAGAGCTTTCATATGGTCCTGGCCAGCGCTCTTTGCAAAAAAATCTTGTAATGTATAGACTGTCTAGTTTCCTTCCTGTTTCACCCTACTGGGTACTTTGTCAGGGAACGCGCAGGTTGTGAGAATTATAAAGCCTCTTCCAAGATTTAATAAGCTGTACATTTTCATAGCGATGTTCAGAGGGCAGCAGTGGTCTTTCATCTTCTACTCTAACGAACAGTACATTCTAACACTGGTAAGCGATCATAAGTTTTAGAGAAAAGTGGCATATATTGAATACATTAAAGTATATTATGTTTAAGATGTTCTCAATTAATATACCATAAATATTGAATATTTTGTACACAACGATTTCAGATGAGAATATTTTCTTGTTTCATACTTCAATTATTCGGTTAGGTTAGGTTCAAAGTGAGTGGGTCTATTCGACCCTGCCCTGCAACCCGCAAAGGTATATTGTGGGTCACACCTATTCACATTCGACCAAATAAACCCAGCTTCTTAACGAAGCCGATTAGTACGGCTCTGCCGAACTCTAAAAACCTGATTAGGTCCCCAGCGGGGCAGGCACAAAGTATGTGCTCTGCTGTTTCATCATTTTCCGAACAGAGACGACACACACTGTCATCGTAGTTCTTCCCTACTGTAGTCCAACAACTGTTTGGTATCAAGCTGCGAAGGGTGAATAAACTCCTTGAGTGAGCCAATCCTGGAAGATTCTGCCTGAAGTCTATACATCTTACCATTCAGGGGTTCTGGTCCGATCAAGCTGCTTGCAGCTCCCTCCTTTACAAGGGAGTCAGCAACCTAATTCCCTTCCAGACCAGTATGGCCAGGAATGCAGAGGCAATCTGTTAAGTCTTTCTATCGAGGAGAGTCGGTTTTGGCAACTTGCTACCTATTTAGACGTTGTTCGGTAGGAGCCAAGAGCTTCCAACACCGCTTGACTGTCCGAGAATATTTTCATTGACTTGTGTATGAGGTTGGATTTTTCCAATCTCTCAATTATTCAGTAGGCCGGTTTGGGTTTTTGAACTCAGGTTTCAAATGAGCTTCGAAACAGTTTTACGTCAAATCCTCTCATTATATAGTAGTAGACAGCGTCTAATGGTGATTGCATTAATTTCAATAAATTTTCTTCGTAGCACGAGATAAGTGGTTTACGTTTTCAAAATAAAGCATTAGATTTCATAAAGCGCAATCAACTTATTGTTAATTGTCCCATATACATGTTTTACTTTAATAGACTTTGCCAATAAGATGTTCATATCTTGGGTAATAAAGCATATTTTGATTTGATTTGATTGCATTTCTCGATCAAATAATACCTTTAGTAGCCTTGGTTGACCGTATAATGCGTAATCTAGAGGTCCATGATAACTCGAATCGTGATTACTCCTTTTTAGTAGACGACTCGTTTATGTAATAATAACAGTTATTTAAAGTTTTTAATGTATTTATTTATTGTCGATTGAGTTATATTGGTTGGGTTGTAATTGAACATTCTGCTAGTAACACATAATAACAATTGGGAAATGTGTCATCTCATTCTGTGATCTTGTGCTCCTGAATGAGTTTATGCAAGGTTTGTTTGTGTTATTCAATTAAAGTGTGGCTGGCATTGAATTAACTAACTGTATGAATGTGTATGAAAAGACATTGTGAAAGTACACTATTAAGGATGATATTGTTACATGTAACTGACATTTTATGTCAATACTATTTCAGATATCACATTGTGCAGTGTTCCTACTGATGCTGTTTCAGTTTCATAATGAATGAAGTACAGACTGAATGGAAATAAGTGATTTTCGAATAATTCAATGTTCATATGAAAGTAGTATTTGGAAAGGACTTTCTCTGTTCGTGCAATTCCATGTTCGTGTGAAAGTAGTTGTTTCGAAAGGGTTTTTTCTTCCCAATTTTTTTTAGGTGTTGTGGATGTAGAAAGCCAAAAAACTTTCTTTTCGAAAAACTAATCTCTTAAAATATTCCCCTTTCAATATAAATATCAATCAATCAATGAAACATTTATTGAATCAGTTTTTTTTCACAATTACATTAGACAAAACAGGTCAAATGAACATAAAAAAGTCAATATAAAACATACCTACATAAAATAAAAGTTAATAAGCTACAATCAAATTAGGATTCAAACAGAAACTCATCCGCAGAGTAGTATGCTAAACTAAGTAATATTATCGTAATAACATCTGCCAAAATATATCCTTTTAAATAGATGATTGGTTTGAAATTTTCGTTTTCTTTGATTTCTGAAATGATTTCTGAGATGAAAACTGGAATTAAAAAAATTCCAAATTTAATACGTCTAGTTTAAATGTTTTCTGGAAAAAGGTTGATCAAAGAATGGGTTAATGAAACACATCCCGGAATTGTTTTTCTAGATAATTTTTTAATAATATTCACCAAAAACGTTTCTAATGATACATAAATAATAACACACACATTTATGCAACACCATTCATATCTTCTCGACGACTTGTAAAAACATATTTCTAATATCTTTTAAGTGGATTTTTAATTAATCCTTTTTTTATAAATTCATCTAAAATTCAGACCAGTTGTTCTAAAATGAATATTAAATTACTTCAACAAAATTGATTGCATTTTGGTTCACTGGTCTGAAAGGTTGAACAGTATCCAAAATTGCTTCTTCAAGAAATTGTTTGATCTTTGCTGGCAAAAATAATTTTTCCAAGTCTTCTTTTCTTTTCATTCTCTTAACTATTACGGCCCTGCATCTATCTTGAAGATTTACAAAATCACGTTTCATGGAATCTAGAAGCATCTCAGTCTTTGCTGCTGTGGAACATATGATTGGATGAAGTGGCTCTTTGATTTCGTTGAGTCCACGAAATGCAATTCCAAGACATTTTTCGTCCTTATAGAATGTGAGCGTGCCTGATATACCATCAAAAAGTATCCCAATTTTCGTTGGTACATTTTCTCTGAATGGTTTCGTATAATGTGTCCATCTTCCGCCGTGCCATAAAAGTCCTTTATGAGAGAGTCCCCAACCTTCGTTATCTTTACCTAAGAGATTTGTGAAGCAGTCGGCGTGAAGACGAGCTTTTTTGGTTCCTAAAAAAATTACGTTTCATATAATATATACATGTGAGCAAGTAAATCAAAATAATTTGCAATAACCGGTGACTCACTTTGTTTATCTATTTAGTGAAATTTCATTAAAATATGAGGAACCCAAACCTCTTAGTGTAAGACGTTTATAATTTTTAATTTACCTGTACAGGTTTCAACATGTGAACGTGGAAAAACAATTCTCAAGAATGGTTTTTCATGAAGTTGATAAATAATCATTGCTAGCCATAAATCACATCGAAAAGTTAATAATGAAGTATCGTGATATTTTTAAATGTTAACATGGTATTACAGAAGGGCTTGACTAATGCAATCATCTTCCGAACTTCTTTTTTGACGTTTTCTGTTGTTTAATGAATTTTGGACGTGAAACTTTCGGTGTTGTGCTGAAAGTATTAGATTGTTTCGAAGTTTTGTCCGTTTTAATGTCATGTATTTTTGTTACTCCATATCTCAATAAATATATTTATTCTGCTGTGTTGTATAAACTGATCGATAGATAACTTTGTACTCTATACATTGATGATGTTTAATCTTTTCCAAATTTTAATTGTTTTTGCCACTTTTCAGCTTATTACTATATGATGTCGTTGAGCGATTATCGGCCAGTTTTTCTTTACGAATTCAAATTGAAGTAAAGCGCTGCCAAAACAGCTCGAAAAATTGACCAGCCATTTGGCAATGATAGTGTTGATGAACACACTGTTCAATGTTGGGTTGCGAAATTTCGTTCTGGAGATTTCAGCCTTGAAGATAAGCCCCGAAGTGGTGGACCTACAGTATTATAGGACGAGGATTTGAGACCCTTGTGGAGACTGACCCAACTCAACCGGTGTGTGGGATGGCGGAAGAACTGGGCATCAGCTCCCATGCAGTTTTTGATGGTTTAAAACGTACTAGAATGGTCAAAAAGCTCTATCCTTTGCCTAAAGATGGAGATACTCAAATCCTAAAACAATAAAAACGAAAATTATATGAAACTGAAATAAATAAATTAAAAAAAAATAAACATACATATGTGAATAAAACTAAAAATAAATTATGAAAATATAAAATAAAAAAACGAACTGAATAAAAAAGAGAAAAAAAAACGATGTTTAAGAGATATATTAGCTGATTTTTTTAGTTAGCAGCTTCCATGTGTTGAAAATTTGAAAAATTGTTGAATATTGTGTTACTTGAATTTTTCTAAAACGTGCACTGCTCTTTTTGGAGGGTCTGGACTTTGAGTCAGTAGTTATTTTTTGGTACAGTCCCGATTTGTTTTTTTGTTTTTAATGGAGTCACTTCTGTGATTAGGGATCCTAATTGTTAATGGTTTCATGACTTTCACACTGTTCCTATAACTTTCCACCTCCGCGCATATAATCCAATCCATATCCATTAAGTATCGGCCAATTCCACCATATATGACACATTTCGATTCAGTGAGCCTGATATCATATTTCAGTGAGTTCTAAGTATTGTTGAATATATGTGCAATGTTCCTTGAATTTTTTAAGGCAGTGATTCTCCTTGTGAGAAGATATCAGTATTGTTCATGTGGTTGGGAGTACTCATTGTTAATTATCTATTGTTTTCCTATCGAACTTTCCACTTTCATAACATGAATTATTTGTGAGAAATTTATGATCATTCTCCTCGTGTTTGTGATTGAAACCTGGTTATGACTAAAATATATTTTTTTTGCTTCAATCATTACAATAATGTATCTATAATTCAGTATTCGTGAGTAAATTCAGTTTAACTCCAAACTACCATATCTGAACGACTAACAAATTTATAATTAGGATTATGTAATCTTTAATTTGTTGCNTGAAAGTGAGCTATGCAGTAACTCGGTCCATACAGTCTCACTTCAGGACTCTTGCCTTTTCTGTCCCACGTCCAGAGATCATCACAGCCATTTCGGAGCGGATTTGGGGCCGAACTCGTCATCTTGATTCTTTTATCAGACAAATCAAACGTATGCTATGCTGAATTAGGATGCCATGCCTCAGAGAAGCCGCGAGTACTGAAATATATAATTGGTTGGATTGATGAGAACAACTATAGACACTATTGAATATTACTGGAGTTTTTTCCAACACCAAACTGTTATTTTAACATCTCGACACGTGTTTCGATCACCAAGTGATCATATTCAAGAGGACGATCAAATTAATCATGTTTTCAAAGATTCCTCTTATTATTCTTTTTTGAACTATAAAGATTTTTTCGATATTTCGATTGCTACCCCAAAAAATAATTCTGTATTGAGCAACCGATTCGAAGTTAGCCGTGTATATTGTTTTTGTAGCCTTGTTGTGCAGATATTTTGAATTAATAAATCAAATTAACCTGAAATGTCAGCACTTATTTTCGTAACCACAAAATTAACAATAAAAACAAAATTAAAATTTTGATATCTGTGAAGTTCTTTTTTTATTATTTTGTCAATCCTGAAATGCACATGATAATTTAAATGATCAGTACAAAGATCTTTTTTTTAATATATCTATTTTTTTATTAGGATGATGGCCGTCACTGATCCAGCATTATGTAGGAGAGTTGCACTTCGACACACGATCGCCCTTCAAGGCATGTGTATGGTTGCTCCTCTCATTGACACTACGAATTGGTGGTTTTTGCTAGAAGTTACCCCTTTGAACTTGTATTTTATTTATTTAGGTAAGATATAAATAAAATCCCTCATTTGCTTTATTTGTAATAACACACCCAATTTTTTTAATGAATGAGGTTTTTAAATTAGTAGTCCTGTTTCAATCAGCCACGGATATGTAACTCATTTCTCTTATTTGGTTTCACAAAATGTGTTTGAATTTATATTTATAACCTCATTCATTTCAACATGTATGTGCAAGTTTTATTTTACCCAATGATTTTTTTTTCAGCCTATAAGTTCTATAAAGACTCATCGAGTGCCTCATCAAGAAAGTTATTCAAATTTTCGTTGATACATCTACCTGCCCTTATGATTTTATTTCTAGTCAATAAGAAAAGGTGGTTTATAGTGGAAAATAGTGATGAAGAACCAGAATCGACAAGTTTGGAGACAAATTAAAATAGTGAGAAAAGAATTGTTAGATTTTTCTGATACATTGTAAAATATCAGAGCCATATAAGTTCAAACGAAGGAATTGAATTACACCTATTTTTCATTTAATTGATGACATTTTCAATGTCAGAAACAAAATCCTTATTATTTGCAAATCTCACATTTACGATTTGTTTGCAGTTGACTGTTTTGTGATAATTTTTAAGTTACCTATAGTAATTATTTATTTACTTGAAAATGTTTTACAGTCCATGGTTACAAAAAACATACAAGTAGAAATTAGTGTCAATAGACACTAGACCTAGAGACAAGTCAAGTTGTGAAATGATGGAGCAATGTTTCATCTATTGTCATATATTGATGCAGAAATTCAGGTTTTTTATGGTGGAACAGCCCAAAACACTACTCAGAGTCATCAATTTGTTGTTGTATTTGTTTGATTGTGAGCTCGCGCAGCACCCTCTTTGAAAAGAACTTTCTCACACCCAAATGTCATTACACGTCCAATACGTTCTTTCGATATCTTCAGAACCTCAGCTATATCGATCATTGTGGTCATCCAAAATTATTTTCTGAAAGGCTAACAGCCTTTTTGGGGCGTCCACCGCCCCAAAACCACTTCTCAGTGGTTGGTTTTCCTGGTGCAAAGTCCGAATAATGTTTATCAAGCCAAACGAGCGTTGTCATTCACATCTTCTTGATCTTCTATGAAAAGAGTGTACCACTTGCAAACATTTTTCTGACTGAGAATACAATCACGGTATGCCCATGTCAACATTTAAAGTATCTTTGAGTATCTTAATCCATTTTTTACACAAAATTTCATGCAAAGTCTTTGATCAATTTTTTTTGATAGCAGAAAGTCGCTGAATACGCAAAACACTTCTAATTTTTATGCTTCTCACCAACAAACTCAACATGCTAAACAGCTGAAACAGCTGAAATGGTGAACACATGCTCGAAAAGACTGTACCAACATAAGAACATCTCAAAGATGTAACCATCGTACTTTAGGTATATAAGTAACGACATTTCAAGATAAAGACACGCTCGAAGAAGCCATTGTATGACGAAACATATGTTGCGTTTTTGTAAAATTGTTTAGTGAAAATCTCACGTTGATAAAATTTCATTAGACAAATTGATGGATGTAGCGGTTTCTACATGGTAGAAGATCATCATAAAAAATGAGAAATAAAACTATGTTTTTTTAACTTTTTGTAACTAACGCTAGCATCTTCGTCCTATAAGAACATTTTCAAACGAATACAATAATTGTATTCGACTGATATTTGCACGATTTTTCAATATATCTTATATCATATATCTCATATCATTCACATATCTATACAAAGACAATGGGGTCAGGAACTGTGGATGCATTTTGAATATATTCAATATCATTCGAATATAATATTTGAAAAAACAAATGTTATTTGCTATTTTTGAAGTATCATGTTTTTCACAGAATAAATGTTGTTTTTACAATCCCTTCTTTATTGGCCGCTGATGCTTCCCATTCAGGCGCAATTGGGTTTGTTTTTACAATTTTAATGTTCCTTTGACTTGCCACATTTATTTTCTGTAAGTTGGCTACATTGGTTTATTTGTCATTAGTTTCAGTTGTCATGTCAATTACACTTAAACTAAACATTTAAGGAAACTAAAAGAAAAATAAATACGATGGAAACGATTTTCAAATGGCAAATGAAACTCAAAAAATGGACTGTATATACATTAACCATTAGTTGATTTTTATAGTGTTTATATATTCCATAGTGTCATATTTCTTATCGTGTTTATTCGTGTTGAATGAAATAATTATCGCATTACAAAGTAATATTGTTATACTCCAGTCGTAAAAATCGTTTTTATTTTACCTATTACGAATAATTAATGTTCTAATTCGAGTATAAGAGCAACGAAACAGGATTACTAGATTACTCCTTATGCTACGCAGATTAATTTATGTGCCGCCAGTGTCAATGAATCATTTACAGTGTTTTAGCGATTACAGGATTTGTCCATCTGCATTTTAGTCGAAAGTATATATGAACCCTAGTGAAATATAATTGAGTTCTGTTAGTTCATTTTAATTGTGATTATTGTTACTTTAAATTTTGCCAATCTCAGTGAATATAAATGGAAAACGTATATCCATGTCGGCTGTGAATAACATCTAAATGAGATATTTTCATTTTCACAACTGAAATAACTTTTTCCAAAATATTTGTAAATATTCAATTTTGAGGATTACAATTTTTCATTATTAACAATATAAAAAAGCCTAAATAATGCTACATTTTTAGCTGCCATCGAGTTGACGCCCAAACGAGCGAATGAGGCATCTAGTGCATTGTGCATTGATCGAGCTTTTAACGCAAATTTCNCAAATGGGGATTGAAAGTCACTATTCTAAAGTGACATAATAATAATAACAAGGCACCCTATGAAACAGAAATAATTATAAACCTCCTTAAAGTTGAGTCTATGTATTTTCTGTATAGAATACTGTTGAAGCATATGTGACCATGTCTAGTGAGTGCTTAGGCAGCTCCAGTTTAGTGATTGTTGCAGTAATAATCCTCCACCTTATGATTCAAGCTAAGGGTGGAATCATGCACCAGACTTGAGACGCAAATCTTGAGTGATAAGTCGTAATCAGTAGTATCACTTTTTCAGTGGCAACATTCATTCTAGAGCCTAGATATTATATTCATATTCTTATTTACAATATCTGTGAGTACTAGTCGTAAGTTTTTAGTAGTACCGAATGAAAAACTTGATTTCTTGAAACTTGAATCTTGCTATTTTTAGTCTGGTGTATGTATCTACCCTAATATATCTGATTGACGGATTTTTTATTTATTTTTGTTAAATGGTTGATCCTGATATACCTAGTGACATTTCTTGTCTATGGTTTCATAGGAATAATAAATTGTATTAGTTTTCACAGTAGCTTTTTTATCAGATGGTGACTATATCTGTTTGTACATATGATTTTATTATTTTTCATCTAATCAGTTGCTAAAATAATAGTAATGTTTGTTCATCAAGAAAAATGTTTTTTGTATAATTCAGTGTTTATATAAAGGTGACAGTAATTTCTCTTTCGTTTCAAGTAAAGATCGATCGTTCAGACTAGGGCTTGAACCACCGACCAGCACGGCAGTCAATTCGAGTGAGTGAACAAAGCACCCACGCCGAACCGCTTGGCTACCGACCGACCATGGATATACATGGATTATTGCAATGAAGCAAAAAAAAAGGAAACTAAAACTTTCACAATTATAAATTAAGTGTTAAAGAAAACCCACATGCAATTTTGAAATCCTGTCATCAGAGCAGTTTTTTTTGCTGTAAATAAGTGACTACTCAATTGGACCTTATTTTCTGCATGAGAGGTTGAATGGGCATAATTATCAGCAATTTCCCGAAGGAAAGTACCTATATTTGGTGGAAAAAGTTTCATTCTAGTGCTCTCCTATGATTTCATAGGAAAAAGAGCAAAAGCATGCTCATTTGTAAAAGGTGGTTATTTTCAACAATTTATTTCATTAATTTTTTGTACATCCAGGTGAAATTTTACAATTTTATCGTTTAACCAAAATTTCTAAAATAAATTAATGTTTGAAGTTATATCCATTGTTTTTCCGCGACAAATAAATTAATTTTATTTTTTATGTAAAAACTGTTTAAGTTTCATGTTGTTGTCAATTTGATAGTAGATAAAAGGAAAAACTATATCTTGTTTGAATTTCATGTACTTAAATGGAAAAATGACGAAATAAAAGAAAGTGAGAAGCAGCAATTAATAAAATAAAAGAGGGGACTCTGAAAAAGGATTGATTATTTTTCAAGTTGAGTAAATTGTTAAAATGTATGTAAAATAATGAAATTGTAGTCAACTTTGACCCAGACATAAACCAAATACATCAATTATTTGTCTTTGAAGTTTTATAAAGTAGCAGAATTATTTTTTGAAAGAACGATAATACGTTAAAATAATGCGAGGTGTCAAGTATCTGTCAATAATGTAATAGTTATTGTTTTCATGAATGACAGAAAACCATACTCTTTTGCTTACAACTGCTAGTGCCGATAAAACTTCTCAACATGATGACTGCTATAATATTACGTTTCTTTTGACATTGAATTTCTCTTCCTTTATCTCCTTCTTACATACACTCTTTCATAAATGATAGATAATTCTGAAACGTATTGTAACTGGTTCAAATTCATATAATCATGTATCATATTTTTATTTCGAACATTGAGGATTCACAAAAGGTACTCTGTTAATTTTAATGAAATGAATAAAAACACTTTTGTCTAAATACCACTGGTAGATTTTATTTATTAGACCGGTTTCGGGTTTAACCGCATTATCAAGTTTGATAATGGGGTTGAAAACCTGAAATCGGTCGTATAAATAAAATTAACTAGTGGTAATTGACAGAAGTATATTTATTCATTTTATTAAAGTGATTATGAATTACCACAAAATAAACAAGTCATCAATCACACAAATTACTCTGTTAATGCTTTGGCTTGTTGAAAGGTGGCATTATAGGACTATTAGAACAGAATAACTATTATCAAAGCCACTAACTTCAACACTTTTCACGCTGTATCCCTGGAAAGAATCCAGTCAAGACGATTATTTTGCAGAAGTAATTGAATGTTTTATTGTGAATATAAAAATTATAGTTTTGTAGCATCATGGATCCCCAAAAGTTTCTGCCCCAATCTCCACTATAACACGAACAGCACTAGTAAAAAAAGGGTAGTTCACTGAATTTTTATTTGAAATCACACCAGCCCTCTACTCGAATATAGTATAATATTGCTGATCAATAATATGGTAAACACGATTTGATTTAATAAAAAAATGATTGGTGATTCACATACCTGGGAAGGCCAAATTCTTCATCGACGTTCTTTGCAGATTCTACGTTCGACATATTTCATAAAATTCTCTTTCAAAATTGTACACAATTTTAGAGTAAACTATTAGGTTTGAGCTTCGTTTTCGTACGATAACAACATGCGACGCGCATATAGCGTCGAGGGTGTGACGTCGATTCTATCCAGTGCGCAATACGAGGGGTGAAAATATTAATGGGAAAATCGTGAATACCCTACATAGTCGTTTAGAGGAAAAATCAATATCACACAAGTGATTAGGTAGATACATTAATTTTGCTTAATGTTCAAGACGACTTCGTTATTAATGTATATCTATCAGATTTAATATACAGGATAAACTTTTTAATTTGATTTTGAACACTAGAAAAGGTTGCACTCCTTAATTTTCCGAATGAATTAAAGATGAAATTTGTTCAACAAATAAATCTCAGACGTTTATTTATAAACATCTTATTTGAATAATTCGAATATATGTTTTGATTCGTTTTTGATTTTTTCCATTTTTTTTTGAATATATTTCATAGATACACTGAAAATATCTTCAAAATATGTAGGTATTTCATTTCTTCAGTATATTCTAAAGATATATAAAATACATCCAAAGAATATTCCAAATATTACTCATTCAAAATATATTCATTGAATGAAGATAATTACATGTTCATGTAATATACAGGGTGTATCAACGATAGGCGGGTGGACGATAGCTGCTCCCCTATTAGAAATACAAAAAAATATTTCGGGACAAAGTTGTAGAGAATAAATGAAGATATGTTTTAATAATCATTACTAACACACAGGGTGTCCAATAAATGTGTGACAGACCAAACTTATGTTTTTTCAAATAGAATACTCCAGATATTTTCACTCGAATAAATTTCTTGGCTAGAATGCTTCTCAAAAAATAGTGTTGTTTGGGTTTATACCGGGTAGTTAAGAAGTTATAGCGAAATTCATTGAATAACACATATCTTCCACTCGACCAAATGAAATGAGGAAATTTTCCAAACAAATATCCTTGAGGATAGTGGTTTTTCATTTCGTCTTCATAAATTTACCGAATAGTATTTTTTCTATACAGGGGCAAATAAAACTCGGAATCACATATTTCTTTAGTTGGGATAATGGAATTAATGCATGAGTACTTTATTATGAAGTGAAATTGACAGATGCAACTTTTAAGTTGGCAACTGGGCGCCATTTGGGAAAAAAATTGAATGGAAAGGGGGATCTTGTGACACATCTTTTTGAAGTTGCTGACAAATGCTTCATAACCCTAGAATATAATATTGATATCTTCAACTACTACAAAATGGCGAAACTTTTAATAATTGCCTGAATACATTAACATTAAATTAAATAATATGAGGTAATAAGCTTAAGCTTAGTTCAGAAGATTCTCGATATGGTCGCCATGAACTTCTTGACATATGAACAGCCTATCCGATACTTCACGCCGAACATTTTCAAAAACAGTAACGTCAATATCTCTACAAATATTTATTATTCTCTGCCGTATATCCAACATTGATGCCGGTTCAGCTTCGTACACCTTTTGCTTCAAATAGCCCCATAAAAAAGTCCAAAGGTGTCAAATATGGAGAGCGGGCTGGCCATTCTGTAGCCAATACAACGACCGGGAAAAGTAGTATCCAAATATTACTTGTCTGGAGTAATGTGGTAATGCTCCATCTTGTTGGAATACAATATCCATATCGAATTCATTAGGATTCGCTTCGACGATTTCAGAGAGAGGGTCAACAGTAGTTTTCAGCATATTCAAATACAGTTTCTGTTTAAAAAAAAATCTGTTTTTTCGTAAATCAGCTGTCGCCCCCATACGAACGACAACTTTCAGAAGTTGAGAAACTTGCGCGAGCTAAGGACTAACGAGGTCTTACCTTTTAACGTGTGATTCCTAACACGGTTTCTCTGTTAAATTTTGATCAATAAATAGAGGTCCTACAATATGGTTTCCCAATATTCCTGCCCAGACGTTAATTTTTTCTGACTATTGGGTATGTGATTCCCGGAAAACGTGAGGGTTGGTCACTCCAATAACGGCAATTTTGTCTATGAAGATTGTCGTTTGAAAAAAAATCTACATTCGTCACTAAAACAAATATTGTGGAGATAGGTAGGATGCCTTGAAGTGGTTTCCGTCATGATTTCGCAGAATTCTGTTCTTCAATCAGGGTTATCTTCAATTAATTGGTGTATCATTTTATTTTGTATGGATGATATCTATTCCTCTTCAAAAGTGTCCACACAGTAGAAGGAGACACCTCACAAACATTCGCGACGGAATAAGTAGACTGTTCAGGATTTACTACCATCGCACCAATTATTTGCACTTGCTGTTCTTCCGGAATGAACGGATGACCTGGGGGCTTTTTGTCATGTACACTATCGGTAGTTGTGAATTTGGATACAAGTTCCCTCGAATATTTTCTACAGATAGGACGATTCGGAAAACGTTCATTGAAAATCCTTTCGGTCTCGTGAAAGTTACGCGTCGCACAGTAAATAAAAATGGCTTCAATTTTTTGTTCCAATAGACGACGTGGTACCTTTCTACTAGTAAAACCGAAAACTAAATGAGAATATTATAAATGAACAATGATGTTCATTGTCATACTGACATTTTTTGTCATTTATATAAACAAAAATAACTTAACAAACCTTATCTGGTTGTTGAAATTGCCATATGGCAGATAAAACGGAATATTTCTAGAAATATCGATATTAATGTGTTTTGTCTTCAGGAAATGATTATATGTTCCGCCATTTTGTAGTAGGTGAAGATATTGACTTTATATTCTAGGGTTGTGAAGTATTCGCCAGGAGCTTCAAAATGATGTGTCACAAGACCCCCCTTTCCGTTTGTTTGAAGGTGATTGACAATGTTTCGTGATGAATTTCACTAGTTCGGACTAAAAGGAACTAGAGAAGGAACTAGACATCATCAAAAATGATCTTCAGCGGAATGGATACTCCAAAGCGATGGTAGAAAAGACTTTGGCTAAAAGACAGCAGGAGCCTCGCAAGGAAGAGAAGCCGTCACAACCAGTGCTTGCACTTCAAAGTAACAAAATGGAAACAAACAATTTTGAAGCGCACAAATTCACAATAGATGTTGGAACAATCTTTCATTTCGAGCTATGCATAAATGTCTGTCAACAAATTCCCTTAAAACTTCAATTAAAGGTAACGCATTCAAAAAACACTCCATTGTGAGATTTTCATTAAACGATTTTACAAAAACGCAACACGTGTTTCGTCATACAATGGTGTTAAGACACGCCCTTTTAGTGAAAATCTCACAAAGTGTTTTTTGAATACGTTAATTATGGATTTTCATCAAGTATCGGCCAATTCCATCATATATCAATTAAAAATGATCTTGTAATGGACCGAAAAACTCCTGTAATACTATTCTTCATGTCTTCTGGGGTCGTTGGTTTCTCTCGATAGGCCTCTCCTTCAACATATTCTCATAGAAATCTAGGGGCGTGAGGTCGAATATCGTGCTGGTCAGTGAATGGGTCCATTTATCTTCCAATCCTTTTATTCCTACGCCTTCTGTTCAAAAATGTCCTTACCAGATTTTAGTTGTGGGGAGACGCACCATCATGTTGGTGATATAACCTATGCCTTGTGTCAATATCGGTACATGTAAATATGTTTTTCCCATTAACCAGCTTTCGCATCCATACGAACGATAACCCTCAGAAGTCGAAACTGGCGCGAGCTAAGAAGTAACAAAGAATTTCCTTTTAACGTGTGCTTCCTAACACGGGTTGGACGATGGCAAGTTAAAATCTATCGCTCAGCCTGCGGCTTGAACCACCGACTCACACTTCGGTCGACTGACTGAGTGAACAAAGCACCCACGTCGAACCGCCCAGCTACCGACCACCCCCATCCTCCAACAAATTCAATAAATCATTTCGAAAGAAATCTCTATAAATTTCTCTATTCAGATGCTCGTCAAAGAAATATAGTACGATGATCTGATCCTCGAATATGCTCCCCAAAAATTTATCGACTATCTGTTTTGGTTATCAACTTCTCTCATCCAATAGTGGTGCAATTACTTTTAAATGTGGACTCAGAAAAATTGAATTCAATACATTTTCGCAATACCGATTTCTGGTATCATAATATGTTCATAGAGTTCTTGATGTTTGGATCAACATTCTGTTCAAGAAAATATGACTTATATCCAACTCTCGCAATTTCTCTCATACTTACATGAAGATTTTCAACTGTTGAAAGCATCACCGCTAATTCATTTTCTTCATTTGTTGCAAATTTTATTTACTACTTGCCTTTTCTTATGCTTGACACTACTTGCTTCATCAAATCTTCCCTCAACCCTCTAAAAACTCTGTAATATAATATTTTGACAAATACTAAAATTACCCAGATTTTCTTGAGGGGCATATCTTCAAAAATATTTTATTTTGATTTTTCTGGAAAAGTGTATTTTATTTTACAATTTTTCATTTGTATTTGCCATTTTGTCAAATATGATGGCTCTTCAGTCAGTTGTAAAACGGAACCAAACTGGTTGACAAAGAGTACGTGCAGTAAATAAGTGGTTGGTATGTGATATAGAAAATTGATTGGAATCCAATTTTGATTGATTCAAGAACAGTTTAATGTCAAAGACGCATCTGCGAAGGAGGTTGATTTTGATAATATACATATTTTCTTCATAACTCATTTTTCTCTGACATCAAAGAGTTCTTGAACAGTGAAGTTCGAGGTATACTGAGATGAACCTCAAAACGATGAGCAGTGACAAATATTCCGACATCCTCAGCAACTTCTTTATTGATGATTCGACGAATCTCCATAACAATTTTCTTCACTTTCTCAACATTTTCATCGGTTGTTGATATGCTGAGGCGTCCAGGACGAGCGTTGTCATTCACATCTTCTTGATCTTCTATGAAAAGAGTGTACCACTTGCAAACATTTTTCTGACTGAGAATACAATCACGGTATGCCCATGTCAACATTTAAAGTATCTTTGAGTATCTTAATCCATTTTTTACACAAAATTTCATGCAAAGTCTTTGATCAATTTTTTTTGATAGCAGAAAGTCGCTGAACACGCAAAACACTTCTAATTTTT